AGGCTAGCGCAGAATCTCCATTAAATATACTGGGGTAAAATACATGCTCATTTTATAAAGACATGGCGGAGGAAATGTAATGTAATGCAGTGCTTTGTGTATAATCTGAGACCCACTTTATATCGGATATCATTCTGCCAGTGGAGTTTGCAGATATTTAAAGAAAACAGACCTGAAACGCGCCGGTTTTTGCCTTGCATACAGTTCGCCGAAGCGCTTGTCCCAGGTTACTGGCAAATTAAAAGTCCCATTAGCAAGCTTCGGCATATACCAATGGTACAGTTGTCGCACAAGTGGTACACAGGCTTCCTTCTAGTGGTACTGGGAGGAATCACTGAATAATTTAAGTAAAAAAAAGAACACCTTTTGATGCATACGAAACATCGATGTGATCAGGAAATTGATTTTAATAGGCTAAACTTTTTATTTTATTTTCATTTTTCTAATGTTTGTTATGTATTCTACCCTTTGAGGTTATTTTCCTCCCCATACTTGTAACAGTTGTTGGGGGCTAATCTCATATTTTTATTTCCCAATGTTGACAGGTATAGTTTAATCACTTGCTTCTCTGACACACATAGCCTACTCTAACGAGCAGTAAGCAGACCTAATTTCTAATTTAAACATGTAAATCCATCTCATATTTTTCAAATACAAGTTAACATTTAGATTTCAAAGATATACGACTAAGACATATACACATGCAACATATTTCAAAATTCATCAGAGTTGTATATGAATATTATGACATATGGTATAACCTATATTTATGAGGTCCAGGACACGTTTGTGTCACCGACTCGGTCCCAGTCATTCCCCTCGCTGGCCAGCAGAGGTCACCATCACCGGACTATTGACATTACGTCATCCACTTACACTGATTGCCGACACACCTGAAGCGCATTCAGTAATCACTCTCCACACACATAAAAGCAGCACACACACACAGCCTCATTGCGAAGTCTTGTTCTGCCCCGGCTAACACTACTGAGCGGTCTCATCCTTGCCTGCCTTCCCGTTGTGATCTTGCTTCGTTTATTGACCCAGTCTTGCCTGCCGCCTGCCTTGTACTTCAGCCTGAATCCCGACTCTGATACTAGCCGCCTGCCTCTGACCCATGCCTGCATACTCATCCTGTGTTTACCTGCCGCCAGCCCAGCGACTATATACAACTGTGTTGTATGTGAGTTTGCGCACGCACAACATCTTTGTGCTATTTGTTATTAAACTGTGTTTAATAAAAATACTGCAAATGGATCCCTCTGTGTCAGCCACTTCGTTACAGTTTGCAGGTTTTGATGAATAGGCTACTTTATAATACTTTACATTTAAGTAAAGCAGTTTTCTTTGAACTTTTTAAGAACAGTGCCATTTTTAATTAACTTTTAAAATTACATTTTGATTTAAATGTTGACATTTTATTTATATATTTTTTTTACTTTGTGTGTTATTGTTTAACCTATTTATTATGTTTAAAGTGGCTGACAATAATAAATATTCATAATAAGAAGAATTAATCTGTAGTTTTGTAGTAAGCTGTTGCCGCTTACTTAGGCCTACTGTGTACTTCAATACCTGTCATTATGGTGGTACTTGGAGGGACAATTTTTTCTGAGGTGGTATTTGGTGAAAAAAGTTTGAAAACCACTGTCCTAGAGAATCAAGTAGCGGAGTTGGTTTTGATGTATCTACCTATATGATTGCTTGCAGAGGACATACGCCAAGCTTTACAATGTTGTGCTGCATCTTTTCCATGAGTTTGGTGGTGTCTGTCTACTGCAAAAACAAAACAATGTATAGATGTGTCATGCTGCGGTGGTGCTTCTAATTCAGTGTGACAGGCTGGAGAAGGCTGTCTGCCAAATGTTTCTGAAACTGTTCTCTCTCATCCGCCATTGATGTCATGTTTAGGGGTACACGCGAGCATATAGTGACACATTGGTCAACTTTGACTACTTCGCTTGCAGCCTACTGGACTTGAAGGGTGTGCTGCCAATGTCTTGGTGCCAGATGCTACAGGATATGTTCAGACGTCTTATAGATGCTTTTTTGTTGGATCAGTGTTGTTCTGGTGCTGAAGATCCAACAGCATATTAGGCAGGTGGTCGTAATGTTTTGGCTCAACTGTGTACTTCTGAAGAACAGCTTATTTAGGGTCATTTATAAAACATGAACCACTGCAGCTGTCGACTTGTTCGTTCTTTTCCTACAAGATCACTTTTTCACTTTGCTCACGCAGAGGCCCTCACCTCTCTCGGTAACCTCTCATACCTATTGATGATTAATGGGCAAATCTGTCACAGCGCGACCCGTGTGCTCGGCAGCACTTTTAAACACTCCCTTAGAACTGCATTTACGTCTTCTGCTCTTTACCCAAAGTCATTTGTGGAGTTGTCAGGGGTGATGAATGGGGGCAGTGTGAAGCCCACTGAATTTTTTGGAATGAATTTGATTACTATGAAAGAGTAAAGGAACTCATCTGTACACATCAGCAGAGTTTACGTCTTAGTATTTTTGAGGTTGCAAACTTCATTTTATCTTCAGGAACTAGTATGAAAAATGCACCTGAAGGGCGGCACAACTACTTGTGATTCTGTGTCTTTCTTGAAAAAGAATTTTCAATTCTGTCTCTGACTTAAGCCAGAACTGCGTCCACTGCTGGATTTTTACATCTCCTAGTAGATTGCAGATATTGCTGTAGGAGAGTAACAGAGCGAGCAGGAGATGGAGTGGCTTGGGATGTGTGGGACCAGGTGTTTCTCTTTTTTTTCTGCTGTGACATCAGCCTCATTGATATTCAGTCCATTACGCCAGGCTGTTATCCTGTATTTGATTGGTAAGAGTATGAGTGAACTGGCGACAGTACATCTTTAAATGTGGTTCCAGGTGTCAGAGGGTGTTCAGAGGGTGTAGGATTTCTTTGAAACATACAAAGGAATAGTCAAAGCAAAGACTATGGCTATTTCTTGATGTGCGTTCTTAAGCGATCTTGCCTCTTGGTGTTCTCGTTTGACGTCATCATCAACTGCCAAATTTCAGTTTCAAAACTCAAGACAGCAATAATGAAGGACACATGAAAGTTCCCTGATGTGTTCTTGATATGGATTTAAGCACCAAACTCGCTCTAGTAGTGCGAATCAGTGGCGCAGTAGGTAGTGCTGTCGCCTCACAGCAAGAAGGTCGCAGAGTGGCTGGTTCGAGCCTCGGCTCAGTTGGCGTTTCTGTGTGGAGTTTGCATGTTCTCCCTGGGTTCGCGTGGGTTTCCTCCGGGTGCTTCGGTTTCCCCCACAGTCCAAAGACATGCGGTACAGGTGAATTGGGTAAGCTAAATTGTCCATAGTGTATGAGTTTGTGTGTAAATGTGTGTGTGGATGTTTCTCAGAGATGGGTTGCGGCTGGAAGGGCATTTGCTGCGTAAAAACTTGCTGGATAAGTTGGTGGTTCATTCCACTGTTGCGACCCTGGATTAATAAAGGGACTAAGCCGACAAGAAAATGAATGAATGAACTCGCTCTAGAAGTCCCAGAAGTCATTGCAGCTGAATAAAGTAGGTGGGAAGCACAGCATTTTATATAGATTTATTATTAAAATTCAGAGATATAATTTGTTTATTTAGTAGTTTCCCTAAATGAGACAGTGGAAGTAAACATTGACAAAAAAGTCTTTATAAAGGCATAAACATATCAAGGGTGTTTGTTTCCTGAAATTCATGTTAAATTTGTATTGTGCAAAGTATACTTGTAAGGTTTATGTGCATAATATAGATTGTGACAAGGGGGTGAACAATTAATCATCGTATGAATGCTGTAATGTTTAAATAGTTCTCCAATAAAAATAAGTGAAGGTCATGTGACCATTAGGAAGAACCAGGAAAGAACGCAGGATCTCATTTCTCACAGGACGCGTTCTGTGTTCTCACATTCTCACATTTTCCAGAGTTCATTTTTCTGTGGTAACTTGGCAGGACCACTCTCCACAAGAACACAAGTCCATTCTCTGCATTCTTGGAATTGAGAAACTCTCATTTGAAGTCAGAATTAAATTATAAATTGATAAATATTAAAAAAAAAAAAAAAAAAAAAAAAAAAATATATATATATATATATATATATATATATATATATATATATATATATATATATATATATATATATAATAAACAAGAAGTCTAATAATTTAGGGGGGCTAATAATTTTGACTTCAAGTGTATGTTCTCCCTTATAGAGTTGCTCTGTATGAAATGGGATGATCTTTATTGCATAATTGTTTTGCCAGAAACTTACAAATTGAAAAGTGCTTCATTTTAAAGCTGCATCAAAGTAATGATCAAAAGATGTGCTGTTTATTAAGGAAATGTGCAAATGTGTATTATTCAGTCAATTAATTGGTAAATATTGCATTAATAGTATAATAAATAGCAGTAGCAATAGCATGAGACATATTAAAGGAATAATTCACTCAAACCTTACTCAGGAGGGTTTAATCACACTGTTGTTTTCAAACCTTTATGAGTTTCTTTTGTTTGTCGAACACAAAAAGATTTTATTATAAAAGTTGAAAACGGGTAACCATTGACAACCATAGTAGGGGGGAAATACTAGGAAAGTCAATGTTTACTAGTTTCCAATTTTCCTCAAAATATCTAACAGAAGAAAATATTCAAACAGATTTGAAACCTGTGAAGGGTGAGTAAACTATGAGTTATGGCTGAACTATCCCTAAGCCCAAATATTGCTGATTATTATTTAGTAGCAGCAGCTGCATTCATTCATTCATTTCTTTATTTTTCACAGCATTTGTAATTATGGGGACCCTATAAGTTGCCTCTATGATTAAATATAGTTTAATAAAAAAGAAAAAAAACGGTAATGTTTAAACCTTTTGAAACACAATAAAAGCAATAACATATCTCCCCTTTTTTAAGATGATTGAAAACATAACCTTTCCATCTCTTTCCATGACCCTGACTAATTCTTTTGAAATTTCTGTTTGTTCCTCAGCACGAAAAATCATAAATCTCACCATTGAAAACCAGGTATCCTTCAAGGCAGTGCACAATGTAATGGGATATCTCAAAGGCAAGACCAATCCAGGTAGGTCAGCACAAACCAAAACAGTGCTTTTATATCCCAAATTGCCAGAATTTTTTTTTTTTTTGGTCATAGTTATAGCAAGACCCCACAGGTGAAATAATAATAATAATAATAATAATAATGAATCAATTAATTATAATAATACAAATAATTAATTAATTTATTATAATAACATACATAAAAAATTAAGGGTTGTTTATCACTCTTCTTCCCAGTTAATTGATTACAGTTTGTTTTAATAAGGGGAATTTGGGCTTTTTTTATTTTATCACTTTATAATTCATAAAATAAAGCCAGAAGAAAATATATTCACAATTGTTTTATTTATTTTTGTAAAATAAAGTATTATATCAATTGGGCAATTGTGTAAGAACATATCCCGGTAACACTTTACAATAGATTCATTAGTTAATGAATTTACTAACATGAACTAATCATGAACAACACATGTACAGCATTTATTAATCATAATTGAACATTTACTAATGCATTATAAACATTCAAGTCCGAGCTTGTTAACATTAGTTAATGCACCATGAGTTAACATGAACTAACAATGAACTACTGTATTTTCATTAACTAACGTTAACTAACATGAACAAATACAGTAGTAAATTTATTGTTCACTGTTTGTTCATCTTAGTAATCACATTAATTAACATTAACTAATGAACCTTATTGTAGAGTGTGATCCATATCCCTCTGTATTTGCCTTTAAAGTTTGGTGTGGGAAAGTGCCGGGGAAAGAAAGAAAAAAAAACTCACTTTGAGAAAATGGGATTTAAAGATATCTAATATAATTTAAATATATCTGTGAACATACTGAATTCTATGAAAAGACAAAATTTTATATTTGAGCGGTGCGTAAAAAATATGCAAGATTATTTAATTTAAATAACAAATCACTTTCATTTTAACTACTGGATATTGCTAAGGTGTCATTAAACAGCTGTACTCTCTGGTCTGACATTAAGACAAAGCATTTTGTCACAGTTTCTTATTGTATCCGTGATAGTAGAGTGAAACAGAACTGCAATCTAGGCAAACTCACCTTCATCTTCTGAAAAAGTGAACATCCGGGACCAAATAAAGCCAAATTTAAGCCCACATGCTGAAACAGCCCTTTTTTAATCACTTCTACGACCAACTAATCTCTTAAAGCAACGTCTGCCACTACAGTCCAAACACAGGTCACTTAAGTGACAAAAATAGGCTTTAAATCATAGCCCACTATTTTCACCTTCAGGATGACATAATTGTACGTCTGATGTAATGAAAGTGTTTCATCTTTCACCTCCGCCCTTATGACTGTAAAAGTCACTGTGTCTATACATTTAAGCTCTCAGTGATTTACTTTTACTGATTTATGACACTCTTTTCCTGTCATAATTGGTCGGCCGGTCACTAATGACATGTTAGACATTATGCAGTGTCGTTTTCTCCTTAACTTTTTTTTCTTCTTCTTTTTTTTCTTTTTTTTAATTATGTATTTACAGTTTAAATTCTGAATTATTAGTCCCCTTTTGATTTTTTGATTTTTTTTTTTTTATATATATATATTTCCCAAATTATGTTCAAGAGAGCATTTTGATTATGTCTGATAAAGTTTTTTTTTCTTCTGGAGAGTCTTATTTGTTTATTTCACCTAAGATAAAAGCAGTTTTTCATTTTTTAAAAAACATTTTAAGGTTTTCGATAGTCTACAGAACAAACCATTGTTTTACAATAACTTGCCTAATTATGCTAATGTGCCTAGTTAACCTAAATAACCTAGTATAGCCTTCAAATGTCACTTTAAGCTGTATAGAAGTGTCTTGAAAAATATCAAGTCAAGTATTATTTACTGTCATCATGGCAAAGATAAAACAAATCAGTTATTAGAAATTAGTTATTAAAACTATTATGTTTAAAAATGTGTTGAAAAAAAAACAGCTCTCCCTTAAACAGAAATTGGGGGGAAAAATAAACAGGGGGCTAATAATTCTGACTTTAACTGTACATTTCATTTACCTGGCACTTGCTTGTCATGTTTATCTGTCATTTTGATGTCATTTTAATAACTTTCCTGAAGACCACAGTAATACTCCTGAGTAAAGGTGGGTTACTGTTTTCCTCAGTTGTCAGTTTGATGAGTCTGTTTGTATCTCTGCTGGCTGTCAGTCACTGGTGACCCAGTGCTGCTTTTAGCCCACAACTAATTACAGGGTGGGGGAATAAAATTGCTTTCTTTTGTGTATGTGTGAATGAGTTTGATCGAAGTAATGGAGTTTGTGAGAAAGTGTTTAAAAATGTGTGAGATTGTATTTTTTTTTTTTTTTATGAAATACATATTTCTGTTTTAAAACTGTATATTTGAGTGTATAATTTGTTGTTGCAACAATTATTTTAGTATATTAATCTAGTCTTTAGTGTCATTTGAATGATCAATTTCCAATGTTTCCATATATTGATTGACTGGTTCTGTGGGTCACACATGTAAAAAAAAAAAAAAAGAAAAGAAAAAGATACTTAATGCGGTATCTTTAAGCAGCAGTTGATTGACTCTGTGCCTGTGTGGACATGTTTGTTAGTGTGTGGTGAGTATTTGTTTGTGTCTTGTTTGTGTGAAAGTAAGTGTCCCCGCTCTGTTTCCCCTTGTAGATCGATATGTCCTGGTTGGCAGTCGTCATGGCAGCTGGTATGAGGGTGCGTTGGCGGACTGGGGAAATGGTTCTGCAGTCATGACTCAGATCATTGCCTTTATGATGGCTCAAACCCGTGTAGGCTGGCGACCGGACCGTACCATCGTCTTCTGCTCCTGGGGGGGGACTTCTTTGGGCAATATTGGCTCCTATGAGTGGGGAAAGGTAATATTTGACTATTCCAGCTCAAGCTCATTGTAAAAAAGCATGCCCATGGTAACATTTCTGCAGAATGATATTATGTTCATTCTTGTAATTTTTTTCAGCACTTCTAAAGTGTGTCTAATGCAGTAGTTCCTAAAGGTCCAATAAAGTTTGAGGTAATCTCAACTGAAAAATGAAGAGAGGCTGAGACGTAGAGTAGCTCCTCCTCTTTTCTAAAATAGCTAATAGTGTTTTGTTTTTATCACAGCTCTGCCACTGAGTGTGATCAAGAGAGCAAATAAAAAAAGCTTCTTGAAGGTCAAGATTGGTCAAGATTTGATGAAAAAACGAAGTATGAGGTGACATGAAAAATAAATTGTTCATCCATTTAGGCAAAGGTGACGAACTACAAACTTTGGATGTTTATATTAGTTTTAAATTTTCTAAATGCAAAATTTGTCACAAAACTAACAAACAGAAACTAAAAAATAACAACTAAAAAAACATTTTAATTTCAAGGGACCTTGAAGGTTCGTGAATAAATGTTCAGTTGTTCAAACTTTTGAATCAGTATGTTGTTAACTGGAGATTCACTTTGGATAATTTGAATCAGTGAGTTATTAACTGGAAACTAGCTCTGAACTGAAATCACTTGAATCAGTGGGTTAACTGGGACTTCATTGAGATGATTACAGTCAGCAAACCTTTAAAGGGAGATTCACTAAGACTAAAGCCACAGTCAGATCACACGATTATTATTGTCAGTTATGAACGTCACTATCTCAGATTACGTGAATTTGTCTTGATAAAATCTTGACTTGTTGTTGGGAACAAATATGCCATATTACACGTTCCTTCACAATTAGTCATCCTGTGACTTCTACAACAAGCATTTTTTTCCAAAGCAATCTTTATATTGCTATAACAATATTTCTTAACTTATTAATTTCAATGTTTTTTTTTGGGGTTTTTTTTGTCAATCTCAGTAAACACTCATGCTTGCTGACAACTGGTCTACATTATTTAAGGGCATTCATTATGACATTGATGGGATCAAACATATATTTCCTTTTTAATATTACAGTATTTTCTTTTAAATCTAAATGTATATTTTCCAGCCATGGGTTGCTTATTAAACACTCCCTCGCCTGAACTTGCCATGAGTGAGATGGAGAAAATGAAAGCACATCAGCACCAAGAAAAAAAATCTGACGCTCAAGACAAAGTAATGGCATATTAAAAAATTTGCAATTATATGAGGGTTGTGATATAACAATTACAGTGAAGCATTAATTAAATCCTTTTTTTCCACAGAGCAAAACAATTCATCCACCCACACAGTTAAGTAGTGGCCGGGCTCAAACAAAGTAATAATTTGTATATATTTTTCCTGGAAAAAAAAATAAAAACAAATTTCGTTTTGTAGAATTTGTATCATAATTTTAATGTATTTTTCTTTGGTTTGTTATCTACTAGATAAACAAGAATAACGAATAACATCTGAGGTCTAGTGCTTCAAAACCAGTGCGCTTTATGCGTCAGCATCAAAACACGAAGTGGTTTGTTTAATAAAATAATAGTCTAGCCTAAATAAAATTAAAGTGAAATATTCACACTTTCAGATGAATTTATATTCAACTGTTTTCATTTTAAATTATAAAATCATCCATTACGCCATGCACTTTCAATTTAATTAGTCTAACCAAGTAATTTTAATAAGCAAGACAGGATTTTACAATATATTCAGAGCACTGAATGTGTTTTTAGATAACCTTAGAAGAACAAACTCAGTTCGAAGGCTGAGAGAACTCAGAAACTCATTGTGAGGATGGAGATGTCTGCTTATTTGTGCCTGTCAGTCAGATAAAATAGCTTAAAACATTTTAATATTTTAGAGAAAGTAGTTAAGGTTTGCAGAAACAATGATTGAACCCCGGAGACCCACTCATAAGTAACTATGCAGCCTATTTTTTTATTTCCTAATACGCGGATTAACGGCAGCACCCGCAGATATAACTTAGAAATTATGCGCTCTTATTGCCCACTGTTTCCCAAGACAGACTCGTCGTGAATATTGGGGTAACAATTAATCATGCTAGACTTTCTGCAATGGTGAATTTAATAAATAAGTCATAAAAATAAATAAATAACTGCTACAGGAGAGGCAGCAGCGTAGCGGGTACACTGTAAAAAATAAATTCGTAAAATTTACGGTAAAAAAAAAAACTGGCAGCTGTGGTTGCCAGTACTTTACTGTTAAAAACACGGTACAAACCGTAAAAGTAATTTTTCCTTTTTACGGTAAATTATCGTATTTTATTAATTTATAGAGGTAATAATTCTGTATTTTGAATGATCAACATCTACACATCTTTTGTTACGCAGTTAGACACGTTAGCACACCCACATGCCAATGCTCATCACAATCAACTTTTCCCACAAGCAGAAAAGAGTATCAGCATATAGAAGGTGCTCAGTGTCATTCACACAGCTACTAAACACCAGTATGGTAACACGCATAAAATTAAAGTCATGAAATAAACATTGTTTATCAACATTAGATGTAACATAAATCTCTAATGTACATAAATGATGGGGAAACAATTAAAAAGATTCATATTAATATAAACCAAATGCATAAAAAGTTATGTGCCATGCAGGGAATTCTGGGAAAGTCAATTAACGGTTATTCGCCGTATATTTTAAGGAAACATACTGTACAGTTAACCAGGTTATTCATTTGTACTGCAGCATTTTTACAGTTTTTTACCGTTGAAATCATGGCCATTTTTTATAGTGTAGCATCTTTGCCTCACAGCAAGAAGGTCGCTGGTTCTAGCCTCGGCTGGGTCAGTTGGCATTTCTGTGTAGACTGTGCATGTTTTCCCCGTGTTTGCCTGGGTTTCGTCCGGGTGCTCCGGTTTCCCCCACAAGTCCAGAGACATGTGGGACAGGTGAATTGGGTATGCTAAAATTGACGTTGTGTGTGTGTGTGTGTGTGAGAGTGTGAGAGTGTGTGTCTGTGTGTGTGTGTGTGTGTGTGTGTGTGTGTGTGTGTGTGTGTGTGTGTGTGAGAGAGTGTAAATGATGTTTCCCAGTGATGAGTTGTGGCTGGAAGGGCATAAAACGTATGCTGAATAAGTTGGCGGTTTATTCCGCTGTGGCAACCCTAGATTAATAAAGGGACTAAGCCAAAAAAAATTAATGAATAAATAAATACAGCTGCTGCTACTAGATAATACAGTGAATGTTTGGGCTTAAATGGATAGTTATAAATACATAAATCATTGTAAAATATGGGAATTATCATATCGCCTTAGTGAATTATGTGTAGGAGCAATAATTTTTGCACTATACCCATAATCTGCATGTTTATATATATATATATATATATATATATATATATATATATATATATATATATATATATATAGATAGATAGATAGATAGATAGATAGATAGATAGATAGATAGATAGATAGATAGATAGATAGATAGATAGATAGATAGATAGATAGATAGATAGATAGATAGATAGATAGATTCAAAATTAAATGCTTGGTATTTTTGTTTTTATAATTCAGCATAATAATACATTTTATAAAAATCTCAATGAGGTTTCATGACCCAAAAGTTGAGTGTAGCAGGAGGTCAAAAGCTTTAGCCTTTTTTTTTTTTTGATCTTGCATGGTTTGACAACTAAAGTGAAGAAAGAAAAACAGAGCAGTGCAGATTAGCCCTGAGCAGCCGTACAAAAGCTCGCTAACATGATCAGCAAGCCATGAAGATTCAATCAGACAGACGGATGATTTTGGAGTGTTAATGAAATTATTCTGTTCTGCAAAGAAGTTTATTCTAATCAGTACAATACAAACGTCACCATTAATCTTAAGAAGCCCTAAATAATGTCACAATGAAATGATAGTTCTTGAGTATGAAAAAGACAATAATGGTTCCTATTATTCACAGTGCTCATTTCAGAAAATTGCAGTGTCTCACTGGGGGTTACTCAGGCTTTAATGCTGTAATATCGATCAACGCTGTATGTGTGTGTGTGTGTCTGTACAGGAGAATGCACTGGTGCTACAGAGCAGGGCTGTGGCTTATGTCAGCCTGCACAGTCCCATGACAAACTCTGGATCCCTGCAGGCCACAGCGTCACCTTCCCTTCTGCAACTGGCAGGAGAAATACAAAAGGTACTTTCTATTAAATATTCATTGATGTTCACATAGGACTTAAACATTTACATAAAACAAGGATGCATGTTATAATAGTCAACTGTTACAGAAACATGCAGTGTCATTAAGACTGCTGAAGATTTATTCATTAATTATTCATTCATATTTATTTATTTGTTGTAATTCCGCTGTGTGGACTTACATTGGAACAGGTTATCTTGTCTTGCAGGGCCACAGTGGTACAGATACAAACCATACAGTAAAAGAAAACCAAATATATACCTATACAACACTTAACCGTTTGACTATACAAATTCTATAAATGCAGTAACCACGATACAGAGTTGACCACATGTAGACACACTGAGACTGTGGGTTCTATTTAAACGATCTAAGCACAAAGTCTAAAGCGCATGAAGCAAAAGCATTACGGCCCTATCCAAATCAAGGACGGCAAAATACACTCTGTGCATGGTCTAACAGGGTTGTCTTATTCTCTTAATGACTTATGGGTGTGTTTTGAGCATAAGGTGCATTAAACCAATCAGTCTCATCTCCCATTCCCTTTAAGAGTCAGTTGCGTCGCACCATGGCGCATTTCCTATTTCCATGGTAGACTTTGTAAGTGGAAAAACCGAACACTTCACTAGCAAGAAAATAGTTAAAACAAATCATCTCCAGCAGGAATAAAGAATGAGCCTCCTCCATTCTGCCTCTTTACTTTCTATTTCTCTTTACTTTCTCTTTCTCCACTAAAGACATCTATTAGTCTTCATATTTCATTTTGTTTGTTAGGCGCAAAGATTTGTTTCAAAACTATTTCTAAACTCAGTTCTAGTTTCCAGCAAACGAATAAATTAACATAAATAATAAAGTGTTGTAAAAAAAAAGTTATGTCCAAACACATGTCCTGTATTTTTTTTCATATATAAAGAAATTTGTGTATTGCTGTACATCCTTTTTGTATGTATGTATGTTGTATGTAAAGCACTCTGTGCTGGAATTTAGAAGAACTCTTAGTTCGTCAATGGCATGGTGTATTTTAGTTCTTCAAAATCGCAATGCGCCTGACACCTCTTTTTTAGAGTGGCACACCCGTGAGTCCACAAAGTATCCACAAAAAAAAGGATAAAAAAGCACTCAGAGATCATTCATTTATTAATTTTCTATTCAGCTTAGTCCCTTTATTAATCTGGGGTCGCCACAGCAGAAAGAATCGCCAACTTATCCAGCATATGTTTTATGCAGCTGATGCCCTTCCAGCTGCAACCCATCTTTGGGAAACATCCATACACACTTATACACTACAAACAATTTAGCCTACCTAATTCACCTGTACCGCATGTCTTTGGACTGTGGGGGAAACCGGAGCACCCGGAGGTAACTGCCGCAATCACAGGGAGAAAATGCAAAGTCCACACAGACATGCCAAATGACTCAGCCGAGCAGGCCTGGATTGGCTAATCGGGAGGACCGGGTGGGCCGGTCAGTGTTATTTTTTTGGCCACGAGGGCTGGTGTCCCTAACTCCAGACTCTTTTGCTCTCAGCAGTCGCACTTTTTTCATTTATTTATTTATTTGACCACAGCCTCACTCTTTTTATTCATTATTTTGCCGCAGCTACGGTCTTTTTATGTTTTCTCACAGCCACGTGAGCAAGATGCAGCCTGCAGGTTAATGATGATATAACTCAGATGAGTCACTACACTGAGAAAAGCTGTTATGGTCTAGTGGCCAGCATGTTGCGTTATGACGCTGCCGACCCGGGTTTGTACCTCACCTGAGTAATTTATTTATTTTTTTCATTTTTATTGTTAAGACATATAATACTGTTAGGGTTATTGAACATTTGAAGTTCCAAAGCAGCTGTTTTCTTAAAAGAGACTTGATAGTGCCATTAGAAACTGATTTGGAAATGACCTTATTTTAATATAGTCAGTCGTGAACTGAGGTGGGCCGGTCTGAGGCTTGAAACTCCAGGGCTAAAGGCTGATTTTTACTTCTGCGTCAAACACCGGCGTATGCTACGGCGCTGACGCATAGCCCTTCGCCGTGGCCATCACCGTCACTGACGTGCACCTCTCAAAAATTGTAACTACACGTTGCAACGACGCGTATCGTAAGCTCTGTGATTGGTCGGCTTGGTAGCGCTGACGAGTCTGGGCAGGACCGAGAGCCACGCGAATGGCGCGAGCGATTATTTACAAGTGTGGAGTCCCGTGAAGGAGCTCCGGATGTAAAGTTTTGTTTTGTGTTTACCTCATAGTTAAAGTTGTTGCACGTCCGCCGGTTCCTGCCTCAAAATGAGCGAGTTTGAGCCACTTGTACATCCCGGAAGTGTTCAGGAAAAGCAAAACAGCAGAGAAGAAACTCGACACAGAGGAACATTTACACCTCACTGCCAACTAGCGTTTCGGAAGTGTTAATGCAGACCGACAGAGACAGCGCGCAAAAGTATAAATGCACAGCCTCGCGCGTTGCATGCGCCGTGGGTTACGCCGGTCACCTGACGCAGAAGTATAAACCAGGCTTTAAAAGGAGTCTCACTACGGCCATGCAGCCGAGGCTCGAACCAGTGACCTTCTTGCTGTGAGGCGACAGAACTACCTACTAAGCCACTGCATCGCCCACTCAGAGATCAGTAGTATTAAAATCCTATGAAATTTCTAAGTTAGTTTAAAGATTTTTTTTTCAGTTTTATTAGACAACTAGTAAAACAAAGCTACAGGGTAGACTTGGCAATTGCAACATAACTAGAGTTTTGTCATCCACTCTTCATTGCGTTAGAACAACTATAACATGCTAAATCATACCTGCCAACACTCCTGTTTTTCCCGGTAGTCTCCCATATTTAAGACCCATCTCCCGGCACCCTCCCGTCTTGTTATTTCTCCTGGAAAACTTATGTGATTTTATCCTGCCCTCGGTTCTCAGTTTTTTTGTTACAGTCTTTAACACCCCCTAGTCGGCAATCTTGGTATAGTATCCGATTGTATCGCCCACCTGAAACCCGGTCCATAGTACCGGGGTTCCACCGCACAGTTACTAACCCGGTTCTTAGGTGTGTTATTCAGACAAATACACAATGCCACCACCCCAAACCTATCCCCACCGGTCTCCCTGAATTTCAGAGACAACTATTGTCAGGTACGTGCTAAATGAATTAATTGGTGAACCGATAAAGACATTAAGGATCAATAAATAAATAAATATTAATATAGGAAATAAGTTAACAAAGTATTGTTCTGGTTATCTGACTGTTGTGTAGAATGACTATTCTGATTTTTTTTTCTTTCTTTTTTGTTAAATAATGCTGGTAGAAAGAATTAGTTTGACTATTTAATGTAAAATACTTCAATTCTGATCATTCTGATTGGTCCATGATGTACCAAAGAAAATAAAACTCTGTAAGTTTTTTTTTTTTACGCTTAAATTTACAAATAAATAAAATTAAGCAAAACATATTTTGATATGCTCATTGAACTTAACACATTAATTTGTGGTTTTCTTTTACTTGCTTTTTATTCGTTCGTTCGTTCGTTCGTTTGAAAGACACCACTTTTTTTTATTTGTTTTTAATGATTTGCATTCCCTAAACCCTTGCTATCTTGACATGCATGAACAAACAAACAAACAAACAAAGGTTTGACAATGTTTTATTAAATATTATTGCATACATAACATGACTTCTTTGTCTTGCTTTCAAAGCAGTGACAAGCATTTTAGAAAAGTAAGTACACTCGTCTAGGTAAAGATTTAGCTCCATTTCTAAAGTGCTATATAATTAACTGAAAAATTTAGCTGTGGGTATTTTTAATCTTTATATCAACACCATTGAAAGCTGAATTGACAACCAGAATGTTCATTCAGTCAACACGCAGCTGTGTGCACTTCCTCTTTGCTTCATCTCATTTACAGTATACACTAAGCCTGAGTTATGCATTCAAATGGCATATCCAATATTGTGAGATATAACTCATCTAACTTATTTAACCTTAAAACAGCTCTGCTCAAGTTTCCAGATATATAGAGCAGTTTATTCATTCTGACAGGTTCATTTATGATTTGTGGGACTTTAGTGCAGATTGTCTGAAATTATGACTAAACTGTTTAAAACAGGATTGCATTGCTTATTGACACTGCGTAACCTAAAGACAACTTTTTAACTCAGAGTGACAGCCTCTTCAGCATCAGATAATTGCACCCAATGTAAATGGAGCAACTAAGAAAGTTAATAACTTTCAATTTTGCTGATATATCATTTTATTTTTATATATTTTTATAGTTTTCTCTCGTTCAGAGGCCTTGATCCAATAACCGCATGCCTTATTATTTTTAAATAGACAATGATTTTTTTCATTAACCTAAATGTCAGTCCAGCTGTGATAGTTCAGCCTAATAAAGTAAGTTCTGACCTGCACTGCTGTCACTATCAGAATCATTCATTCATTCATTTTCTTTTCAGTTTAGTCCGTTTATTAATCCGGGAACATCCAACTTATCCAGCACGTTTTATGCAGCAGATGTCCTTCCAGCCGCAACCCATCTCTGGGAAATATCCACACACACTAATTCACACTCATACACTACGGACAATTTTAGCCTACCCAATTCACCTGTACCGCATGTCTTTGGACTGTTGGGGAAACCGGAGCACTAGGAGGAAACGCAGCGAACGCAGGGAGAACATGCAAACTCCACACAGAAACGCCAACTAACCCAGCCAAGGATCGAACCAGCAACCTTCTTTCTGTGAGGTGACAGCACTACCTACTGCGCCACTGCAATTTCTCCTACATAAAACTTCTATGGCATGAGTTTGCTATATTAATGATTTTCTTTATCTGGCTATAATGTTTGTAAAGTAGTGCATTGGATTAATGAAGAATTGATGCAGCTGTGATTTGATGTAAATGTAGCCAGAAAAGGCTCAAGTTAACAGGATAGGCACATGTTTGAAAGGTATTCAAAATCAATATAGTTATAGTTTAGTTTATATAGATATAGTTGAAGTTGTGCATTTATGTGCTCTAAGCTTTTCTCTTATGAATATAATGTGGTGGCTGGGGTCTTTTTAGGTTATTCATGAATCTAAATATGCATAAAAGTATGTATATGTATATATTTATATAC